CTGCACACTCCAGTCATAGTTGCCTTGGCTGACCCCTCAGTGGGACCTGTCGTTGCCCACAGCACCACCACTCTCCCGTGTCCGTCGGCTCCCTCTGGGTTTCTCACTTGTTACTACACCCCCTCGTTCTCCAGGAACCTGGTGGGTGTCAGTCACCTTCACGACCTCGGTGTGGTCACTACTTTCCCTCTGGATGAGCCTGCTGCCTCCTGCACTGTCGGTGCCACTGGGGCGCCTCTGGCCACTTTTCACAGGGAGCCGGGCTCTGGTCTGTACTCACTACACACTGGGTCCCACCACACCGGGTCAGGTAGGGTCAGGTCAGGTCAGGTCAGGTAGCTGCCGTGTCGTGCGACTGTCGGTCACTCACCCACCCGTCGGTCCTCTGGCACCACCATCTAGTTCACCCGTCCTTCCCACGTCTCAGTAGGATGGTACGTCACCGTCTGGTCTCAGGTCTCCCAGAGTCACTCGCCCCACTTCCCCGCTCGCCTGCACCGCCGTGCACCCCCTGCGTCGAGGGTCGGCAGCGCGCTGCTCCTCACTCCTCGTTCCCCCCCACCACGGCTCCCTTACAGACCCTGCACTTGGACGTCTGGGGCCCCTCCCCGGTCCTTGGCCCACGTCAGGAGCGCTACTTTTTGATTGTGGTGGACGACTACTCCCGCTACACCACGGTTTTTCCCTTGCGACGGAAGGCCGACATGCCTACCGTCCTCGAGCCATGGCTACTAGCGAGAGGTGGCGCCCAGGGCCTTTGTGGGCTCCGCCTGCACTCGGACTGTGGTGGTGAGTTTTCTTCCACTTGCCTGGCGACGTTCTGTCAGGGCCAGGGGATCATCCAGTCTTACACGCTACCAGACACGGCGCAATAGAACGGGGTAGCCGAGCGACGCATCGGCCTGGTCATGGAGGTTGCCCGGACCTCCATGTGCCATGCCGGTGCCCCCCAGTTCCTGTGGCCTCAGGCAGTTCGCTGAACCTGTGGCCTAGTGACGCACGGCCACGGGTGACGCCAGTCTCCCTTTGGACAGGTTCCCCGGGTGTAGCAGCTGACTACCACGTCTGGGGTTCCCTGGCTCACGTTCGCGCTCCTGGCGTGAACAAGTTGTCTGCGCGCACCCATGCCTGTGTCTTTCTTGGCTTCACACTCGACTCCTCCGGCTGGGCGTTCTACGACCCGGTCACCCGCCAGTTCTTTGCCTCTCAGGACGTCACTTTCGACGAGTCAAGCAGTTACTACAGGAGTCGCCCCCACCGAGGTTCTGAAGCCTTTTCCCCCCCGCTGTTCCTCACCCATGAGCCCCCCCCCCCCCCCCCGTCGCCCCGGTAGCCCCCCCCCCCTTTGCGTCCTGCCCCGTTAGCTGTGCCGCACGTCACTCCGCAGTCGTCTTCCCCGCAGCGTCCAGTCCGTGTCGTGTCTGGGGGTGCAGGAGGTACAGCTGCGGAGGGTGGGGGTACTGGGGCTGCTGGACCTGGTGGTGCCAGCTCTGGGGGTGCAGGGGGTGTGAGAGTGGAGACCACTCCTGTGGAGGACTTGTCTCTATCGTATCTGGGGCTGCTGGGACCCAGTGGCAGCTGCGTCGACTGGTCTACGGCCTGCGCCAGGCTCCCCGTGAGTGGCACGACACACTTCGCACGACTCTTGCAGCACTTGACTTCTTTCAGTCGTCTGCTGACCCGTCACTGTTCGTCCGCCGTGGCTCGACCCCGTTCTATGTTCTGGTTTACGTTGACGGCCTTGTTTTCGCCACTCCCGACCAATGCGCACTGGCCTCCGTGAAGGAGAAACAGGAGAGGAGACATAATTGCACTGACCTTGGTGAGCTGCAGCGCTACCTTGGCCTGCAAATCACCAGGGACAGGGCAGCTCGCACCATTACGCTGACTCAGTCGCATATGGTCAAGCAGATCCTTACGCGTTTCCACTTCCCGTTCTCCAAGGTACAGCTCACCCCTCTTGCTGTGGATCATGGGCTCACGGCTCCACCTTCGGACGAGCCATTTGAGTCCAGTGGTCCATATCCTGAGCTGGTGGGTTGTCTGATATACCTGATGACCTGTACTCGCCCGGACCTAGCTTACCCTCTTACGGCGTGCAACCATTTTGCACCTGGCGGTTCGTTATTCGGACCGTCCGTTCGAAATGGTGGTTACTGGTGTCGCCAGTTTTCGTTAATGGTTTCGCACGAAACCATGTGAAGTCGCATTCGCAACATAACCATGTGGAACCTTTTGGGAAAAAAGGAGGGAACTGAGCACCCAAACGGTTACGTTCGTCAGAAACGGACGGGTCGAAACGGCGACCTGTGGTTGGCGCACAAAACTCGCTGCTAAGAGGGTGGCGAATTATGTGGCGAGTACATCAGGCATGGGACTTGTCCTTGGAGGGAAGCAGCCAGTTACACTCACAGGTTTTTCGGACTCGTTGTGGGCCGACGACGCTGAGTCGCTGCGGTCTACACAGGGTTACTGCTTCAGCCTTGGGACCGGAGCTGTTTCGTGGAGGTCGTCGTCCGTCTCGAGTTCCAGCTGTGAGGCAGAGGTGTACGCTGCGGCCATGGCCTCTCAGGAGCTTCGCTGGCTGTCTTTCCTCCTCACCGACCTTGGTGAGCGGCCTCGCTCTCCCCCAGTCTTGTTCGCCGACAACAGGTCTGCTGTCCTGTTGTGCGAGGAGCCCCGACTGGTTGGGAAGGCGAAGCACATCCAGCTTCGTTACTTCCTTCTGCGAGTGTTGCAGCAGCGTGGCCAGGCACTCGTGCAACGTGTGGTCTCTGAGGCCAACACTGCAGATATCTTCACCAAGGTGTTGCCGCCTTGTGGCCACCAGCGTTTCTGCACCCAGCTAGGCCTTGTGTCTACCGGCCCTCACTTGCTTGCATAGAGATGCTTTGTCTTGTACTCTTGCATCTCACTATATATCATATATCTATGCTTGTGGACTGGCCTTGTGGCCCCTTGCTTCCGTAGAGATGCTTGTCATGCTTGTCTTGTACACTTGCATCTTCTATATTTGTTATGTCCTTGCTTGTGGAATGGCCTTGTGGCCTCTTGCTTGTTCTCGGACTGTGTGGTGATCTTGAGATCCACCCCGAAATTTGTTCTTGTGAACTGGTCTTGTGACCGTTGCTTGTTCTTTCTGACTGGTCCTGTGACCCTTGCTCTTAGACTGTGTGTTGCTTTCCATAGGACTACCATCACCTAGACTGTGGGGGTGTGTCAAACTATAATTGTTATAGTTTGTGTTTGCTAGTCTAGGTGGTTTGTGTTTAGGGTTGGCTAGGGTTCGCTAGGGTTTGCATATATCTTGCTTGTACTTCTCATTTCTAGTGATTCATTCACCATTTGTTACTTTGACAGGATGACTATGATGGGGGGAATCTTTGAGTTTGCCATGAATACATGATGGGCATGGGGGAGCGGGGGAGGAGGGGAGGGGAGGAAGGGTGGGAGGGAGGCTGTCAAGGAGGCGGGAGGTGACGGCAGTGCGAAGCGCGGCAAAGTTGGGATGGCCAAGTCTCTGATGCAAGAGCACGGCAGGGTGGGAGAGGTCATTAGAGGAGGACGGGATGGAGTGGGGGAGGAGGAGGGGGAGGAGGGTGAGGGGGATGGAGTAGGGGAGGAGGATACCTCAGGGGGAAGGGGGGGGGGACCGGTGGGAGTGCCAGCACGGGTAGTGACCTGACACAAAGAGGGACGCGGGGTGCGAAGTGTGTAAAGGCGAGTTCGAGGACAAAGGGGAATGCGCAGCCAGAGGCAGTGTGGAAGAGATCGCAGTAGGAGGCAAGGCCACGGTAAGTGGCGGTAATACCAGCACGTTGCAGCTCACGGTGGGAGAGGAGGTTGTTGCATAGGGTGGGAATATGGAGACCAGTGACTGTACCTGAAGGGAAAACAGTGCAAGGGAGAGTGGAGAGGTGAGTGCAGGGGATGGAGAAACTGGTGTCGGCACCATGAACCTGAGTGGGAAGAGGAAGGGGGGTGAGGGTACCAGCGTCCTTGAGTGCGGTTTCTGTGGCCCCGCTGTCGAGGACAAAGTCCAGGGTGGGGGAGGAAGGAGGGGGAGGTGACACTGAGTACTGGAAAAGAGTCTCATGAAAGGTGCGACAGCTACATGACCAAGGAAACTACCCTGGGTGTCAGGAGTAGCAGGAACACTGGGAGGGCAGAGGGGAAGGAGCCCCAAGGTGAGGGGGCAGGGGAGGCATGAGCAGCCATAGCCGCTGTACCAAAGTTCAGCTGCTGCTGCTGCCAGGCGGCGGAACCAGCGGCGGCGGCCGCGGCCTGAGAGCCAGCACCCCACTGCGGCTGCTACTGCTGATGCTGCTGCTGCTGCTGCTGCTGCTGTTGGAGGTACTGCTGCTACTGCTGGTGCTGCTGAAACTGCTGCAGCTGGGAAGGGGGGAAGGGGGTGAGGAGGCGGAGGTGACCAGGAAGGAAGGAGGGGAGGGTCTGAACATCCACGAGGGAGGGGCGAGGGTTAACATACCAACGAGGAGGGGTGCCGGTGTTGCCGCGATCAAACCAGGCATCATCGAACGCCTTGAACCACGTAGCAGCAGGGTGATTGGTCTGGCCACAGGGTGTTCCTGCGCGGGGACCATGACGGCGAACATACGTGCAGGGGGGGAGAGTGCTTGGGCGACCCCCACGACCCCCAGAGGATGGACCACCAGAGCCAACACCACCGGCACCAGCAGGCCCTCCGGTCTCATCACCACCGGCGCCACCACCATCACCTCCAGCACGGCCACCACGACCACCACCTCCGCCACCGACTCCACCGCGACGGCCGCCACCACCACCTCCGCTCCCACCACCACCACCACCACCACCACCACCTCCGCCGTTGCGACTGCCCCGTTTGTGCGGTTGCATGGCATTGAGGGAGGAGGAGGAGGAGGACTGAGAGGTGGTGAGGTTGACGATTGGAGTGCAGAGCTTGACTTCAGTGTCGATGATCCACTGGGCCACCAAGTTAAGGCCGTCCTGGGGTTTGCTTAAGTGAAGGCGTGAAGGCGGGACTTGTAGTCCGGGGTGAGGTCGAAGAGCAGGCGGTGGATCTGCAGAGGCTCGAAGAGGCCAGCCTGACGAGCCTGGAGGCGATCAGCGACCTCCTTCATGCGCCCCACGTAGTCAACTGCGCCATCATAGGTTGCGAGGGTGATGGAGAAGTACCCCTGAAAGAGGATACTGACGGAGCTGATGTCGCGATGCTCAAACATCGCCTGCAGCTCGGTCCAGATCACAGACGCTCGCAGCTCACGAGCTTGGAAGCGGCGCATGAGGGCGTCAGGAAGTGCGCCAAGGAGGATGGTGCAGGCGCGGTTGTCGGCAGTGGACCAGGCGATGCGGTTGGGGATGTGGGTTGCCATGTCAGCCTCATACTGTGCAATGACCGCTTGGTGGGCGTCACGCCCCGCCGATGCTAAGGCATAATTGTAAGTGGCGGCGTCATGGTCGGCCTTGCGGACCAGGTATTCGCGGCGACGGAGGAGGAAGGCTGATTCGGCGGAAGCTTGGAGCTCGGGGGTAGCAGCGGTCTCAAGGCCAGGCTCGGGAGGAGGAGGACCAGGGGGGGGGGGAGAGGGGGGGGATCACCGGGGTGATTGGGCGCGGTCGGCGGGAGGGCTTGCAGACGGCGAATGAGTACGTCCAGGAGGCAGTAGGGAGAGACGAAGGCGTCCTTCAGGACGCGGCGAATGCTGCCGACGAAAGAATGCCAATTGATGGCGGACTTGTCCGCGGCGAGTTGGAGTTTGTCGATGGAAGAGGCGTCGATGGGCGGAGGAAGAGGAGGAGGAGGAGCAGGAGGGGTAGCAGCCATGGTGGGCGACGGCGGGTGGACCCGCGGCGGCCAAGGATGAAGCGACGGTGGGTGGATCCGCGGCGGCTAGGGGGAAGCGGCTTGGCGGCTGCTGCGGCTGCTAGTCTGCTCCCGGCGGCTGCTGCTGCATTCCTCCCGACGGCTGCTACTGCTGCTGCTGCTGCACGCCTCCCGACGGCTGCTGCTGCTGCTGCTGTACTGCTCGCGGCAGCAGCTGCTGCTGCTGTACTGCTCTCGGCGGCGGCTGCTGCTGCTGCTGCACTCCTCCCGACGGCTGCTGCTGCTGCAGCACTCCTCGCGGTGGCTGCTGCTGGTGCTGGACCGCTCGACGACGAGAAGGGAGGGGGGAAGTGGGGCGAGACAGAGAGCGAAGGTGGGTCGTGGCCGCGGTGGGGGGAAGGCAGGCGGTGTCGTGGTGTCGCGGCGGCGTGACAGCAGAGCGACGACGGCGAGCGGCGGCAGCGGTGAAGGCAGCGGCGGCGGGCAGCAGGCGGCGAGGTAGCGGCAGGGGGAAGCGCAGGCGGCGGCGTAAGGCGGGGTCGCGGCAGCGGAAATGCAGGCAGGCGGTGGCGACGAGGGGTCACGACGGCGGGAAGGCAAGCGGCGGGGGGAATGCAGGCGGCGGCGAGCGGCGGTAGCGGCGATGGCGGGGTCGCGGTGGCGTGAAGGCAGGGCGGCAGCGGCGTGGTCGCGGCGGCGAAAAATGTAGGCGGCGGCGACGGCGGGAACGCAAAGCGGCGACGGCTGGGTCGCGGCGACGGGAACGCAGGTCGGCGACGGGGGGTCGCGGCTGCGGGACACTGGGCGGCGCCGTGTAGGTTGCGGCGGCGAGAAAACAGGGCAGCGACGGCAAGGTCGCGGCGACGGAAACGCAGGGCGGCGACGGCAGGGTCGCGGCGGTAGGAACGTAGGGTGGCGACGGGAAGGTCCCGGCGGCAGGAGCGAAGGGCGGCGACTGCAGGGTCGCGGCGGAGGGAACGCAGGTGGTGGCGTCGAGGGGCCGCGGCGACGTGAAGGCGGGGGGTGGCGGCTTTGGGGCCGCGACGGAGAACGGAGGTGCGGCGGCGGCTATAGGAGCCACGGCGGCAAAGGGAGAGATGATGGCGGAAGCGGGCAGGGGGTTGTGACTGCAGGGTGGGCCCTTGGGGAAAAAAAAAAACGTAGGGAGGGGAGGAAAGGCCAAGGAATTTTAGCTCTATACCATGTGAGAATTGGAAATTGAACCATCAACTTCATTAGAGGAGGAAAGGAGCATACATAGTTTGTAAGAGAAGGTTGGAAGGGAAAGGGGGGAAGGTGGAACTTGGGAAGTTGGCCAACCAATGGCCCATTGGGTTAGGTTGGCAACACTTGGGGGAGTGGGCCAACCTATGGCCCATTGGGTTGGGTTGGCAACACTTGGGGAAGTGTTGTCAACTTATGGCCCATTGGGTTGGGTTGGCAACATTCGCCAAATGTTGCCACCCTAAGGACCAATGGGTTGCATTGGGGGCTCCACCACAATTGGGTTGGATTGGCACCCCAACATCCAAGGTTACACCCAAAGTTGGGTGTAGTCCCAACCCAACTGTACACCACACTTGGTGTACAGTCACGAAAGCTTAGCATGCTAACACATAGAATTCTAACAATGGGGTCAGGCAGAATTCTCTTAGGGGGTAGGCTACATCTCCTACTAGTTGGTACGGGGCGATGTCTCGCCTTTGTAACCTCTCATATAGTGCACTATTCATGAACACCCTATGATCGTGCGCACTTCCGGGGATACCCGATTAGGTAGTCCCATATCACACCTTGTGCATCACACGTAAGTGGAAGCTGCACTGCGTATGCCGACTTTCTGGTGTAGTATTCCGTCCGATGCCCCTCCATCCCTTTCATGTGGATATGTGTCTTGTTAATAGCCCCAATTACCGCAGGTATTCCTTTGATGATATGGAGCTCCTCTACCATCCCATCGAGCACTTCACGTGCGGGAAAGCGAACCCAGTTTTCTTTGAAGACCGTAGGGAACCGCGTCAAGAAAACGTCGACCAACTCGTGACACAAGGTTTTCGACATGCCAAACAGGTACAATATGTCTATGTAATTAATCCCGCTGACCAGATACTTCATGGCGACCAATAGCGCAGCATCCATTGTGATACGATTTCGCTCGACGATAGGTGTCAAGTAGTGGTACATGCCTTCTTTGATGTGCTCGAGGATGGCACGATTATCCGGAATATGTCAATAAACTCGTCATCTCGCATGCCCTCCAGGTCGTCTGCCCACAGCTGGAAACGGCGACGCCGCAACTATGAACGGCGATCTCTGTGGCACATTTTTTCCAACCGCTCTGTGGTTGTGGACGATTCGTCGTTTTCGAATACATTAGCATCAATCGGCCCTACAACGGACTTCGCTATAGTGTCTAGGAATATTGTGTAGTAGTAGGTGATCCAGGCAACTAGAAGTCGCAGGAGGAACAGGACAGACAGTGCGCGGTTCAACCATAATTGGAACATACCGGGAGAGCAACAGCATGTGCTGTTTGGATGTTATAGGCGAAGGGGTTGGAGAAATTGCGAATGGTGATGCCCAAGTTGACGATAGAACCATATGCACGGCTTGTACTCTAACCGCCACCACTCCTGCGTTTATATGCGCTTTTCCATCCGGTTTTGTCACCGCTCGGTACACACATGTGCAAATGTTATGAAATGTGTTGTTGTTACCAAAAATCTCCAATCCGGGGACACCACCTGTAATCGTCGCGCGTTGGCTCTCGGTCGCAATACATTCATTCTTTGTGACGCGAGGTTTTGCACACATTTGGACGCGACTCGGAAAAATGGTGTTTGACGCTTACTTAATGGACATGTCAAGGCCCGAACTGTTCGAATATAACTTTATGCAGTGTAGTGTAGACTGTAGTGTATGTAATCCTTTGCTGTAGGTGGTGTACCTCCTGTTTCCTTGCCTTCTCTTATCCCTGTACTGTTTCTCATTATCAAACCCTCTCTTTCGTCCAACCTTCTCGACACCTTGCTTCCGCTTGTTCCTAGCCTAGGTTTCTCCTAAACCTAGGCTAAGCTAATCTCTTGACATGGTATTAAGAGCGATACGTTCCTAAGGACCTATCGATAATGGGCCCACCTACTTCCGTCATGCCTACGTCGCGCGTTCTGCCCGTGGCGAACGCGCCATCGACCGTGGCGTTCGCCACGGACAAAATGACGCATTTCCACCCGTACGCAGCCCACGACCTGCCCTGTCCCGCGCTGCCCCGCCCTCCGCCCCCGTTACGACCAGCAGCAGCGTGCGCACACGCCAGATGCGCACGAACGCCAGCGCGCGCGCGCGCCTGCTGCAGAATACAGCGCACGCCCACGCCAGTAGCAGCGCGCGCACACGCTAACGCACGCACGCCTGCTGCAGCTCGCCACTGCGCCCTCCTCCCCCCCTCCCCCCCCCCCCCCCCCCCCCCCCCCCCCTCACCCCGTCGCCCCGCCAGCTCCTCCCGCGGAGCTCCTACTGTGGGGGGGAGATGGATGGGGTGGCGGCCAGGGGGGGAGATGGTGTAAGGGGGTGGCTGCCATGAGCCCTCTGCACGCCCCACCACCCGCCCTGCCACGCCTCACCCGCGGCTGCTGCTGTGGGGGGGAGGTGGCGGGGACCGGGGGAGGAGGTAAGGGGGTGGCGTGCGTCAGCCGGCAGCTCCACCGCCCCCGCTCATCATCTCTTCTCTCTCTCCCGGCCGCGCCTGCTGCCGTGGGGGGGAGGGTGAGGGGGTGGCGGTAACGTTCAGCAGCCGCCCGTAACCTCTTCCTCCTCATTCTCTGTCTTCTGCTGTTTCTTCTCGCTCTTCCTCCTCCTCTCATCTCCTCCTCATGCCCCGCCTACTTGTCTTTCGTTCTCCCGTTCTCTCGTTCTTTCGTGCTGCTGCTGCCTGTTGCTGGCTCGCCCCCGAAGGTGCTGAGCCGTGTTGTCCTGCTGCTCGTTGCAGCCAGAGCGCCTGCTCTCTCGCCCACCTACCGTCGCCTGCACCCGCCGCTGCTGCTCTCTCTGCCGGTGTACCCCTACAGGGGGTGTTGCTGCACATGGTCATCCACTGCATGCAATTAGGGGGTGTGTTCGAATATAACTTTATGCAGTGTAGACTGTAGTGTATGTAATCCTTTGCTGTAGGTGGTGTACCTCCTGTTTCCTTGCCTATATCCCTGTACTGTTTCTCATTATCAAACCCTCTCTTTCGTCCAACCTTCTTGACACCTCGCTTCCGCTTGTTCCTAGCCTAGGTTTCTCCTAAACCTAGGCTAAGCTAATCTCTTGACACGAACGTACCCAGATTTGACAAACTGTATTCAATGGAGATACCGGTACGGGTACATTGCACAGCACACGACTCGTCGACAGCTAATTTACCAAAAGCCACTAGGGTCCTGGGTCTCTATTCGTAGGGATGTGGTAAAGGAGGTACATTCTGTGAAAACATATGTTTGTATGTTCTTAGTTCTGCTAGGCTACAGTGAGGTGCTCAGTATAGAGTACAACCCCAGTTAGGGTTTCATACTTGTATCTCCATGTTGCTAGTCATTCATCATTCCTGTCTTCCTATTTCAACATGGTATTAGAGCATGATCGTTCCTAGGGCCCACCGAACGTTCCGCCCTGCCCTGCCCGAATTTTTTTTCGGCCCTACCCTTAGGCCCGCACGCAGCCCTGCGCTGCAGCCCGCGCGCTGCGCTGCCCTTCCCTTAGGCCTGCGCGCCGCCCTGCCCTGCAGCCGCGCTCGCCTCTGTAGCCCGCGCTCGCCTCTGCAGCCCGCGCTCGCCCCGGCAGCCGCGCTCGCCCCTGCAGCCCGCGCTCGCCCCTGCAGCCATGCTCGCCCCTACAGCCCGCGCTCGCCCCTGCAGCCCGCGCTCGCCCCTGCAGCCCGCGCTCGCCCCTGCAGCCGTGCTCGCTCCTACCGCCTGCGCTCGCCCCTGCAGCCGTGCTCGCCCCTACAGCCCGCGCTCGCCCCTGCAGCCGCGCTCGTCCCTGCAGCCCGCGCTCGCCCCTGCAGCCCGCGCTCGCCCCTGCAGCCGCTCTCGCCCCTGCAGCCCGCGCTCGCCCCTGCAGCCCGCGCTCGCCCCTGCAGCCGCGCTCGCGCCTGCAGCCCGCGCTCGCCCCTGCAGCCACGCTCACCTCTGCAGCCCGCGCTCGCCCCTGCAGCCGCGCTCGCCCCTGCAGCCTGCGCTAGCCCCTGCAGCCCGCGCTCGCCCCTGCAGCCGTGCTCGCCCCTGCAGCCCGCGCTCGCCCCTGCAGCCGCGCTCGCCCCTGCAGCCCGCGCTCGCCCCTGCAGCCCGCGCTCGCCCCTGCAGCCGCGCTCGCCCCTGCAGCCCGAGCGCTGCCCAGCCCTGCAGCCCACGTGCCTCTGCTGCCCCCCGCCCTGCGTGCGCCCTGTAGCCCGCGTGCGCCCTGCAGCCCGTGCTGACCTACCGCCCGCGTGCCTGCTCTGCCCGCGCTGCTAGCTCGTGCCCTACTATCCACACACAGCCACTCCAACCGTTGCTACTGCTGTTGCAGCCACAGCGACCACCGCAACTGCTACAGCTGCAGCTACAGCAGCTGCTACTCACGCCCTTCCGCCGCTGCTACTAACTGCCACTGCCTGTCATGGCCACTATCACGGTCGTAGCAGCATCTAGGGGTGGACAACAGCAGCCACTGCCTCACCCGGACACTCTATCACCGCAGCAGCTTCGCGAGTGGGTTATTCAGCGAGGCCGTCCGGGTGGTGGAGGTTATCATGCTGGAGGTGCTGGAGGTGCTGGACAGCAGCGGCAGCCCGCGCACCCGGACACTCTCTCGCCACAGCAGATTTGTGAGTGGGTCGTTCGGCGAGGCCGTCCAGGTGGTGGAGGTTATGGTTTTACAGCTCCTCGACAGCGGCGGCAGCAGTGTCAGCAGGAGACCTTCTCCCCGCAGCGGCTTCGCGACTGTGTTTCTCAGCGAGGCGTCCCTGGTTGTGTAGAGGCTGCTGCTCTAGGTGCTAGTGAGTCTGCTACCGCTCTAGGTGCTAGTGAGTCTGCTGCCGCTCTAGGTGCTAGTGAGTCTGCTGCAGCTCTAGGTGCTAGTGCGTCTACTGCACTTTCACACTTGACTCAGGCGCGTCACGTTGCTTCTTTCGTGATTGCACCACAGTCACACCGCTCGCATCACCTGTCCCAGTCTCACTGGCTGACCCCACTAGGGGCCCAGTAGTAGCGCGAGCCTCCACTGTCCTCCAGTGTCTAGCAGTCCCCTCCGGCTCTCTTTCAGGTCTCCACCTCCCCTCGTTCTCGACGAACTTGGTGAGCAACGCAGTCCTTTAGGATGTATGGGTTGATACCTTTATCCCTGGGGGACATCGAGTGGCAATCTGTAAGTGCTCCCTGACTAGCCGTCACCTTGCTACATTCACTCGGCAGTCTGGGTCCAGTCTGTACACACTGACCACTACGTCTGCCCAGGTGCCTGCGCCAGGTCAGATGGCTGCGTCGAGTCAGGTGTCTGCGTCTGGTCAGCTTGCAGCATCTTGCTCGTGTCGGGTACTTTCCCACCAGACTCTCCTCTGGCACCACCGACTCGGTCACCCCTCTCTGCCGCGTCTACACAGCATGCACTCCCGTCTCCTTGTCTCTGGCCTTCCCAGGTCTCTGCCCCCCCTCCCGCGCTCGCTTGCCCCGCCGTGCCTTCCCTGCGTCGAGGGGCGGCAACGCGCCGCTCCTCACTCCCCCTCGTTTCCTCTGACCACTGCTCCTCTGCAGACTCTCCACATGGACGTGTGGGGCCCCGCCCGCGTCAGTGGGACGGACCAGGAACGCTACTTCCTGCTGGTAGTTGACGACTACACGCGCTACACCACC